TAACAGATTCAGCCATATCAATGTTGAAATAAATATAACTGTAACAGTAAAGAGGATATAAGGTAAACATTAAATGGTCAATCGGCGATCGAATCCGGCCCAGGAATTTCATCAATATACTGTTAACTGGCTTAGAATGTTGCATAGTTTTTCCATTTGATAATTTTGAACGTGATGTTGTCAAGTTATGTAACTAACAGGGCTCAAATCTTCATTCATACACAACAGAACGTATAATTACACGTTAGTTTAACCTGAGAAATTTATAAAAACATGCGGCGAAAACTTTATTTGTCTAATGGTATAAAATAGCTTTACAAATTTTTAAAAAGTGTATTAATAAAGTTTGGTGTAGAAAGGTCACTTTACAAATAATGTCACCTAATAAGCAAATGAAATAAAACAACCGACTCTGAAATTGGACTAATCAATTTTATTAATTATGAATTGATGAAATTAATTATAATTATTCATTCGTGACTTTTTAAAAATAGTTATCTTCTCCGAACAAATTATGATTTAAAATGTTTCATACAACACATTTTGGCGTTCATACAAATTATCGAACGACACAGCTGTCGATCGTAACAGTTAGTGACGTTTGTCCTGATAACAACATGAACAATGGGAGTACAAAGAAGAAAAGTTAACATAAAACATTTACGATATAAATGAATATAAGGCAGGTAACAACAAAATACGCGGTAAACTGGACCTATAGTTCATTATTTTACATTTAATGCATTCATTTATGCATTAATACTGTTTTAAAAATTCAAATGCTTTTTTTTTTATTTCCGTTTCAATATCTTTTGTCATGAAATCTATATATATGTAGTTTCTTATTTCCTCTGGTGAGAAACTTTTTCTTATTAAAAGGGTATCATACGTAATCAGAAACTTTGACTAAAGAAAGCGTTTATGTATACATTAAAAAGTGCGTGTGTGTCAGTTTACTATACAAATTGTTGATATTCATTGAATTTCTATGGGACATTTATTGAAATAGTTTCGAACCATTAAACACAAAACTTACACCCCCGATAATTATACATGTATATTGTAATAGGAATTATAGCATTATATTTCATTTGAAAATAAAGTCGACAGTTTAGAAATAAATCAATTTATCAGGCATTCAGCTAAATATAATAATAGTAAAACAAATAACAGGTATACAAATAATGTTTTGCTTTATGTATAGAGTATACAATCAAGTCTTCTGATATCATGGGTTTCATCCCGAAACGCAATGTTAAAACTACTGTTTTCCTTACATTTCATTTCTGAGTTCTTCTGTATCTGTATTATATATTTGTGTACTCCTGTTGCACATTTAATGCGACTGTGCGTTTTTCTAAATAAGATTACAAAGGTTACAACAACAAAAAACACCCTTCATGGTACCCATTTAAATGTGATGTCTATTAAAAAAAAACGGTTAGGAATAAAAATAACATGAAAGTTAAGCATGAATGTTTAATTACAGGATAACAACAGTTGTCTGAAAATATAAAATTATACTTCGAAAAAGGACTTGATTGCATTGGGCTATAGTAAAATGAATATGCCTGTGGTCATATAATAATTAAGTCCCCGTAAGACTATCATCAAATGACATATATAAACAAGAAGCTTTTGAACCTTCTTTATCAAGAAATTTATGATAGAAAAACATAACCTTGTATATCATATCAACTTGGAGATAAATGATTCAAATACAGGGGTTGTCGGAATCCTGACAGTTTATTCAACAATTGTTATAAACATCTCCCAATCCAAAATAAAAGAAAACTAGTCGGTGCCTTCTGCTACAGTTGTTGATAGATAAATTTGTATTTCAATTCTAAGTAAGGTACATTTAAATTACTTCTACCTGCAGTTTACTGGCGTGAACGATTCTCATGTACAGGTAATCGGTAAACCGGTGAAGAGATGAGTACAAATTTAATGTGAAAAAGTGGTCATTCGACGAAACTAATTGTACAGTACGCGACGTTTTGGTGTACATGTGAACAAGATCTAAATCATTTAACCCTAGAATGCATATGTTATGTGCATTGCAACTCAACTAAGCCAATCTATCAGTAAACTACAAATAAAGAAATCAACTATATGTTCACAATTTTATTACAATTGATACTTCTTTACTTAATGATAACAAAGCTTTGATGTCAAAGTATTTTAAAATTCTTTGAATGCTTGAAAAAAGTTATTGAAGTGTAAAAAAAACTTTAACCACCGACTGTATCTAATTCTTACCTGTAAACACCATAGATACCATCTTTTGTCGCATGCGATACAAAAATGAAAGAGCATTCGAAACAGACATTTATATGTAGAAACAGTTTCGATCCCACGGTGATTTTTTTACGAAAATTTACATACAAGCTATTTTTCACCTGGTCAATTTAAATATTTAAAAACAATATTAATATACCTTTATGTGCTAAATTTAGAAATAAATGGGGTCGAAATTTTAGACATTTACCTAAAAGATAAACACATGCAGATTTTTGTAAAACAATTTGGAATATCTTATTTACAAAAGTATCCTTTTAATTTTGTATTAATTATTTGGAAATAATTCACATTTATTGAATTTTCATGATTTTTGAAATAACGGCATTTTTTGCTGTATATTTATCTAATTCAAAAAAATTGCATCGGTTATTTTTTCATAAAAATTGGAATAAATAATCTTCAAACAGTATCAAGTCAAATGTCATTTTAAAAAAAGAGGTCCATGTACTCGTTTTAAAGCTAATGATTAAAATCACTCAAAAAATGCATCTTTTCCCTATATGTCGTAGTTTGACGTCGCGAAAAATAACATTTGACGTTAGCAACGTCATTACCTCCCCTGTAACTGTATCGTATGCCCTTAATTTTCACGTTCCGCTATAAAGATGATGTCATCTCACTTAATTATTTAAAGTATGGCGGCTATGTTGAACGCATCTATTCCATCGAAATTGAAATAAAGATGATTTTAGCTACTCAATTGTGAACTATCCATTTCTATGTAGCAATATTCCAGCAGCGCTTGCATATGGAGTATATATCTCCCAGTTGAAACGATATTCCAGATCCAGCAGTTCCTATCATGATTTCCTTGATAGATTGATTGATTGATGGTGTTTAATGCCACCTTCAATACTATTGTGCTATTTCGTTATGGTGAGTTTTTATTGAAGGAGGAAGCCGGATTGACAGGAGAGAACCACTGACCTTTGGTAGGAAAAATGACAATCCTAGTCAATTAAGATTGGAGTCTAGGGCATCTGCTACGTGCGGGATTTGAACTCACAACCTCAATGTTTACAGGATAGTATTACAGTAGTTCGACTACTCAGACCACTCGACCACCGAGGTCCATTCCTTGATAGAGGGTTTCTGTTTAAAAGGAACCTATTGAACCAAGAGTTCCAAGTGGTGAAGTTGAAATCATTCCTTGGACAATTTTACGGATGCCATCACGAGTTGATTGACTGTTATGGAATATCTTTTTCATAGATGACGACGGATATGTTCCAATTCCCGGTTTTTTTTCCCCGAATGTGACCTACCGAATTAGACTTATTACCGGGTTTGTTCTTACATGAGCTACACGACGGGTGCCAGATGTAGAACAGGATATTTTACCCTTTCGGACCACCTGAATGTATTACCAACTATGGTGGGGTTTGTCTTGCTCAGTCATAAGTTTTTTAGTTTGTGTTTTGTGTACTGTTGTTTGTCTTTTCGTCGTTTTTCATTTTTTTTTTACATTGCATTGTCAGTTTGGTTTTGAATATCCTTTTTGTATATTTTGCTTTTATGTAAGGATTTAGGGGTCTTAAAGTTCATTTACATCGATCACTAGCCTGTCAACAATTAGGTTGTGAGTTCGATCCTCACTCATGGCAGGTTTGTTCGATTCCTATCTTGTGACTGCTCAAGGTGATGGTTCTATCCAGGTACTCTGTCTTCCTCCACCAATAACAACTGGGCACCAAGATATAGCCAAGCGTGATGTAAGTGGCGTTAGAAACCATCAATCATCAATCGATCTACTTTATTTACAAAAAAATGTAATTGGAAATTATTTTGTAGATAAAATCTGGAAGGATTGTATACAGTCGATGTTTTCATTTTGCATGTCATTTTATGTATAAAAAGGAGTACTGATACTTCTATTTACAAGCATTTATGAATAAAATAGGCTGTTATTTTTTCCATTTTATATGTACTTATTATTTCAGCTATTTATCTTGGGGTTCAGAATAGAATGTCAATTTATTTGCCTCTTACAACCTCAATGGTATATTAATGTGACAATGAAACTAATTATAAACAATGTTATCCATATAAAGAATATGCAATTTTCCAGACAAAAATTGGAGTCGATTTTTGTGATGAGTGACATTTTATCAGGTATCTGAGATATGCACTGACCTTGAGTAGAAAATTACATGATGTATATACAGCTGTAGTACTCTTTAAGCATTCGGGAATAAACCGGTTACAGAAAATAAAACCCATTACATAGATGACATATTGACCTTGATTTGCCGTTCGATTAAACAACATATCAGGGTTGTTTTTAGAATACTTGAAATTTATACAGGCCAGTTATACAGGAAAAAAAATAATTTAAAAACGATTAAATGGGTATGTAGCCTCAATAGTCATCTTACTTTGTTGTGTCGTCCATCGTACGTTTGGTATAGAATTTCCTCTCTATTTCCACGGAAGATGTTAAAATTATTGATAATCTCAATTTTGTTATAAAAATGTATAAGAAATGTTGAGTAGCCCATTTTCAAATTGAAAAGTCAACAATCCAACAAAACTAACAGGATCATGAATGTAAAACTGTCGACGTTACTTGAGTATATAATAAAGCGATATGCCATGGTTCACCTATTACGAATTAGTCATATATTTGGTTCCATTATAATATATAATTCCTATTATTTTTCATCAATGTACATACAAAATATATTTTTCTATTTTAGGATTATCAATATGACTACAAAAAACCTGATGTCGAGTTTTGTCGGTAAGATAACATTTTATTATTCTTATCTTGGATACAATTCTTTTTATTAGTATTTGTTTGTTTGCATTGAACTAGCTTTTAGTAATTGTAAGTACTCTAAGATCGGTATTGTGTCTTCAGGTTTTTTGTTAGTCGTTTTTGTGTGTTTTGTGTCAATCTGGTGAGTCCAGCTTTTTTTAAGTGATTTTATCTCGTTTGCGACGAAAGTCGCGGAAAAGCGAGACATGGGGATTGCTTTCCGGCGACGTCGAAGGTGATGATGACGACGGCGTCAACAATTGTTAAGTTTTCTGCTTAAGTTTAAGTTAGTTAGATAGGAACTACTTAGTTGTGATAGATCAATGATATTTGTATGAAGTTGCATTGCTATTAGTCCAGTGACTTTGAATTAATTAGCAATTTTCAATGTTAAGTTTTCTGCTAAAGTGAGATTGATAGGAACAACTTGTGATAGATCAATGATATTTTGTATGAAATTGCATTGCTATTAGTACATATTAGTTTGACGACTTTTTTGAGGCACTTCCCCCTAAGCCATGGTCCAGTGACTTTGAACTAGGAAGCCGTTTCAAATGTTAAGTTTTACGCTTAAGGTCTATTTGTGAGAAATCAATGATTTTTTGTATAAGGTTGCATTGCTATCAGTACATATCAATGTGACGCCTATTTTGATGCCCTGACTCCTAGGCTATGGTTCAGTGACTTTTTATTAATAAGCAATAATCAATGTTAAGTTTTCTGCTTAAGTTAGATTGATAGGAACAACTTGTGATAGATCAATTATATTTTGAATAAAGCTGCATTACTATCATTACATATCAGTTTGATTACTAATTTAAGGCTCTGCCCCCGAGGGCATGGTACAGAGACTTTGAATCAGTTAGCATTTTTCTATATTGATTTTTTTGTTTTAAGTTGATTTGATAGGGATTACTTACAATAGACAACAATATTTTCTATAAAGTTACATTGCTGTCTAAACGTCTAAGTTTGTCAACCTTTTCGAGGCCCTACCTACTAGTTGGTCCAGCGACTTTAGATTAATAAGCAATGTTCCTGTCCATCAGATTGTCTTTTTCTGAATTTTATGCCGACATGAGAGACATATCTCTGGCTCAACAGTTTATTATAGTTTGTCCTTATATTCCGTTGTTAAATCACTGTTTAGGTAAGGGGGAAGTTTGAGCGCCCATAAACATGTGTATCACCGCCACATTCTGTATGTGCCTGTCATAAGACAGGGGTGTGTAATTTAGTGATTGTCGTTTATTGCTGTATATCTTATTTGTTTTATGTTTATTGTTTTGTACATAAATCAGGCCGTTAGTTTTCTAATTTGAATTCATGGATGGGCATTTTAAAGCTTGCTCTTCGGTATTGATTTGTTCATTGTTGAAAGCCGTACAGTGAGTTATATTTGCCAACTTCTACGTTATGTAGTCTCTAGTAGAAGTCTGTCTCATTGTCATTCATACCACATCTTCCTATAATTATGTTCATAAAAAGCTTATCAAATATCTTTCATGAAATACTTGTGCGCTGTAAATGAAAAACCTTTTACTATAATTTTGATTTAGTTTTTATTTCATTTTAGTTCTTTTACGTTGTTCTATGTATTTTCTTTTCGCAGTATAACGAAGAAGAAAAAATGGCGATTGTATCTTTTCATAATTATTATTTTAGCTTGTGAATCATATAACTTGTTAAACATGTCAATTTTACGCACCCCTGGTAGAGTTATGTGTATAAATGCAAAAAGGCAACAGTTAAGATTTGAAGAGAATACATTTTATTCTATATCGATCAACATGTCTACCAGTTAATACATATAATCTTATTGGACTAGCTTATAAACAAATGTTATAGATGTGCATAAGACTTGTTTGAATAAAAAAAAAGTTCCATTCATAACGAAAAAGGATAAATTCGGTTATAAGTTAAATAAATGAACATATCAACACATGTTTGTCTCATTTTTGTATTTCATTGTTGCTTCTTCTGCTTAACCCATTGTTACGTTGTTCTCTATATTTATTTCCGCAAACTATTTTTTTTTTCATAATAACATATTTCAACATGTCTATATACATGTTTTGTCTACATGATCATTACAAACGTGTCCTTATAAGTAACGTTATATCGATGGATCAGCCAAATCAAACCTCTTTATTAACAGAAACAGTATGAGCACTCTTAAACTGGGCTTCTTGGTTAATTTTAGATTACCAATTAAATAAAATAGAATTAACTATATAGAAAGTACAACCTAAGTGCGTCGTTCAATAGTATGAAAACATTTGACTTCTCTACCGAATTTACTAGTATTTCTCTTTTTTAACTTAAAAGACAAATTGAAAGAATAAGTCAAAGTTGGTCTAATAAAACAGAAAAATCAACGCAGATACAAGTATCGAGTTTTAGGAAACGATGAATCGTACTTTGTAAAAAATCCTTTCTGAACTGAATCAAAGGAAAAGGTCCACTTTAGTTGACATTATCATCGACTTGTTATTTCATTTTTATGCGTCAGATTTTACGGAGCTTCTCGCGAAAAATCGAAAGAAACTTCTATCAACATCTCACCACGTTCTATATATATAAAAATTTTGTCACAAAAAAAAAAAAAAATGGTGATTGTATTGATTAAACGTTGCCTTATGAACCTGAAAAAAAACATAGAGATGAGTGCTTTTCATGTCTTAACTAACACCTACCAATTGACAATAAGTGTCAGTTAGGAACAACACTTGTCAACAGAAAGAGATAGTTTCTATATCCCAACTGTAAACTTTCCATTACTATTTAGCACCAATCCAGCTGGAGTAAACATTTGTTACAGTTGATAAAATATTCCAAGGCTTCTGCTTTTCCATTATTATTTCCATGTTACTACTTGTAAGAGATCTATTGCATAAATGGTTCCCGAATTGTATTTTCATTTAAGCTAGGTTATTTTTCATCAAACTATTTTACTAAAGTAAATGATTACATCATACTTTTTGCTGTGATCGATTAAATTACGATTACATGTAATCGAAAATGTTGTCTATTACACTTTACTGTCGTTTACTTGAAAAAATGTAATCAATTACAATCGATTACGATTACCCCATTCCTGACAGAAATACCCCTATACTATCAATTTTCTTTTCATTGCAGTGTCATATCATTGTAACATAGGTTTTGATTCAATGTCCGAAAATGTTGTTTTGGACAGGAAGATAATTCAACAAAATGTTCAACATCTATTGAATTTGATTTATTGGTATTTCAACGATTATTTTTTTTCATTCGAGTATAAAATTGCACTCTACTGTCCGACTTGTTCTCATATAAAACAAAATTCATACAAAAGTTTTCTTGTCAAACTTCTTTACTTCACTTCAGAAAGAAGGGCGATGACTTATTGTCCTGTAACTAAATAACCTACACGTAACATGTAAGGTCTTATTTATTCTTGGCTTTCAATCGTGTGGGTATGGGCGTTGCTAATGAAGGTATATTCAACTAAGCGCTTCGGAAACACGACTAATAATATAGTGTTATTTTCATTCAATAAAAGTTTGAATTTCAAATATCCAAAATGAACTTGAAATTCAGGATACTGCAGCAACTAAAAGGGCTGCTATTGGGAATGCTTTTACGCTGACAAAGATGGATGACTTTAAACTAGAATCTCTTACAAACGTGACGATGTCAGCTCCCCATGGTCAATTTACCATTCTCAAATTAAAATATATACTCTTTACCATCCTAGTAAGTAAACATATCAAATTACAAGGACCCCATTAACAGACTAGTACTCCAAACACCAAAAACTGCTCCAGCATGGTTATGTGGAAGAACGAGTGCAATTGACACAACATAAGTTTAACAATCAATATGATCATAAATTGTTCAATGATACTATGTGTCTTTGGCTCAACTTGGATGCAATATATATAATCATGTTCCCAGATCTTTAGATACCACAATATTCATCTGATTTGTAGATTAACCGAGTATGTCCTATTCTCATTTTGACTTTCTAACTGAAATCGTGATGTATATAAAGCCTGTTAGACGCCTATCATTTCGACGTATCGGCTATAGCTCTTTATTTAGTTCTTGCGATGCACCTAGGTTAAGTGGATCAAAGATTTTATCATTGGGTAACAACTGAATAGTCTGTACTGTAGCATTTTACGTTGTTTGTATGTGATTTATTTTATCATTCTGTGTTCATTTAAAATTATCACTTTTTAAAATGATCGCATTTACAAGTTTCAATGATAAAATAATATCGTAAATAAATGGATAGTCATTCATATTGCCGCATTCCTGTTGTGTTATTTCTTTTGGTTTTATTGCCTTCACACCTATATTTGTTCGGGATTTTTGAGGTACATTTTGTAGCATAATTGACGAGGCATATTTTTTGGAAATGCACAAAACAATTTCTCTTGGGTTTTTTTTACCTTCTGCAACAAAAAGAAAAAAAATCTGTATATCGAAAATAATACGATTGCTTTTATATGGTTTACATTTTATATGATGTGATATACATGACTATGCATTTGTCGCACGAAAATAAGTACTCTTCCCTTAATTTTATAAACTTTTTTAAAAAATCTTCTCCTTTGAAACAACAAGACCAGTTTCAACTCAACTTTGGCTGAATGACCCATGAGGTAATAAGTATAAAGTTTGTGTTTTCTTTTATTCATGTCCGTCGAAAGATATCCACAATGGCTAAAAATTAAAGATAAGGGTAAAATTCATATTTGTCTTATATCGTGAAAACTATAATAGATAGAAAAAAATTGACAGTGCGAAACAATGGCAAGCCGTTTTACAACTTATTCTAACTTCAAGATATCTCATATAATATATAAGAAATCTCATATAATAGATTATATATCTTATATAATTTAGTTTTTATAAGATATCTTATAAACTTTATAATTCTCTTATAAACTTTATAAGATATATTATATACTTTATGAGATATCACATATAATTTATGAGATATCTCATATAATTTATAAGATATCTTATAAAGAAAATATATAAGATATCCTTTAAAGAAAATATATTAGATATCTAATAAACTATATAAGATACCTTATAAACTATATGAGATATCTTATAAACTAAATGAGATATCTGATGGAAAATATAAGATATCTCATGAAATATATAAGATATTTCATATAATATGTAGGATATCTCATATAATATATAAGATGTCTTATATAATCTAGTTTATATTAGATATCTTATAAACTTTATAAGATATCTTATATACTTAATAAGATATCTTATATACTTAATCTATAAATTTTATATGATATTTTCTAAAGAATATAAGATATCTTATCAAGTTTAGAAGATATCTTATAGATACTTTTTTTTATATAAAGATATATTACATACTTTATATAAGATATCGTATATAGTTTATAAGATATCTTATATAGTTATATGTTCTTCTCGTATATTTTATGAGGATATGATACTAAACCCCTGACAGGAGGGATTGTTCTTAATTTTCATATGATGAAGATATAATCTTTCAATCAGTTTAATTGAGTTCTGGAGCTTGCATGTCAGTAACTGCTAGTAGTCTTTTGTTAATTTATTTTGATCATTGTTATTTTGCTTAGTTTCTTCTGTTACCTATTCTAACATCGGACTCGGACTTCTTTTGAACTGAGTTTTACTGAGCTTATTGCTGTGTGTTTGTTTATTCCACATTGGCTAGATGTATAGGGGAGGGTTGAGATCTCACAAAACATGTTAAATCCCGCCTCTCCTGTCCGGAACCTCTGTCCTTTGTTTTTTAAATTTTGGTTCCTTTTTTCATGTTTCGCAGTTTAGTGTGACGTCCATTTTCGCTGAACTAGTATACATTATTGTTAAGGAGCCATCATAAGCCCGCCTCCGGGTGCGGGATTTCTCGATGTGGCCTTGAGATGTTTTCTGCTTTTTTGGTCGGGTTGTTGTCTCTTCGACACATTCCCCGATTCCATTCTCAATTTATAAGATATATCATATAATTTATAAGATAAAATATGATATATCTATACACTATATAATATAGTGTTACTAACTTGCTGATTTTGTATTGGTCCGTGTATAGATTCAAGGTCTGCTGTATTGGTCCCGAGGGCCGTAGGACCGAGTGTAAATACCGCTGACCAAGAATCAATGCTGATTTTAGCAAATGAGGGCCAATTTAAACATATTATTTAATATCTTATTAACTTTATAAGCTATCTTATAAACTATATAAAATATCTTATAAACTATATAAAATATCGTATAAACTATATATAAGATATCTTATAAACTATATAAGATATCTTATAAACTATATAAGATATCTTATAAACTATATTAGATATCTTAAAGACTATATGAGATACATGTATCTTATAAAGTTTATATGATACATTGTATCTTGAAGTTAGAATAAATAGTAAAACAGGTTGCCATACAAAATGCTCAGAATGTCAAATCTGCCTACATTTTGTTTGCACAAAATTTTCAGATGATTTCTTAATCAAATAGTTTTACATGTTTTGCCCTTAAATGACGATATTTGGCTTATTTTCGTGTGTTTGTCTATTATCCCAAACATTGTATTACATAGGTTGAAACTGTTAAAGGAAAAATCATCAGCAATACATGATTTACAAAAATGACAAATAACCGAAACAATTTGATGACGTCTAAATGCCTGAAACTACGAGTTTTTTTAACTTATTTTCGTGTATACCATTCAAAGATCTATTCCTTTGTAAATTATCAACCAATTTTAACCAAACTTTGCGTGAATGATCCTGAGCAATTGCAAATGATTCGTAAAAGACTATTGATATTATATGACGATTTTTGATAATGGTCCCTGTTTTTGTGAATTATTTCGAACGTTATAATACATTGGTAGAAACTATTAATTGAAATGATCAGCAATATGAACGACCATTGGATAACTCCATAAACCACGAGATCTTCAGTCCGTTATGAATTGTGTTGATCACTTGCAGATATGATATAGTTTGTAATGGTTTTAGGTTCTATGTTTGTTGCTTTAACAGCTGTGGTGATGTTTTGGAATTTCATCCAATAACAGTAAAAGTTAAAAAACAAATGGGAAACCTTTTGGTTTTGGATATTTAGATCTGGCTATATCCAACAAACAATCAGGCATAATTGCGATACTAAGCAATGATTAATAGTCAGCTTATTTATTCAAAAATATAAAGATTAAGAGAGTTATTTTTTTTATATACACGTCAAGTAATACATGTAGCTAAGTCAGTTCATTACCCCATGCCAATTTCCTTATAATTTTTCAATTGCCTCCGTTGAACTGGAACTTGTATCCTTTCTGATCATTTCATTTGATATAAGGTAAATATACATGTTGAATTATGATATAAAATTGTCTATTTATTGCAGTTTCATTATTTAAATATTGATTAGCCATGTGGCCATATCACCAGCACTAACATCTATTTTCAAAATGCTAAAAAAATCCTTTAAAATTTTTTAAATGACGATTTTGGAGGATTTTTTTATGTTTTTGCCAATTATCTCAAGAACAGATAGATAAAAACAGTATCAGCAAATAGTATCAGTAATTTTTAGGATCTACAAAAACGCTATGTGACTAAAACCATAAGATGACTCATTAAGGAGTTGTGGTCTTTAAATGAAAATTTTATAAAACATCTTCCTGTTTTTGTCACTCATCTCCAGATTGTTAAAATATAGCTAGAAACATTAATAGAAAAGAAAAATCAGCAATACAGGATATACAAAAAAGCCAAATGATCGAAACCATCGGATGAGTCCTTATATGAGTTGTTTCCCTTTAAGCAATAGTTTGACTAATGTTTATAATATGCAAATGATCTTGAAAGAAATATATACGTACATGTAGAAACTATAAATAGCAAAACTGATCAGCAATACAAGAGCTACAAAAATACATTAACGGTTGAAACCGTTTGATAGTTCTGATTTAATGCCCTTTAAGAACAAATTTAGATTAATGTTCGTTTTATTGTATAAATGACAGGTAAAAACTGTGCACTGCAGAAAATACAAGATATACGATAATAAAGTAACTGCAAGCAATAATGCTAAACATTAATATCATGTGGTATATATTTTCCATGTGAGCGATTCATACACTTAGGTGCCTCTTGTTTTAAATCAATCAACTGATTTGGTAATACATTTACAAATGTATAGTTTTTCATTAGTTTTATTTTTTTTTTTTAAATTCCAATCAAAGAACACTCCTTCAACTAATATCAAACTGATTTCCTTGTTTCTTTATCAACGATAACATCTAAAAAGCCACAAATAAACGTGATATTCATAAATTATTGAGCAGGTGCTGGGGTTCCAAAAATTAAAATGTAATATCGCTATTGATGATCAGCGGGATGTAGATGGAAAAGGGGTAGGGGTATGGTTGAAGATGCGTATTTGTTCATATTTGTTTTATTTTTTAAAATACTTTCTACTCTTTTCGTTTTTCTTAACGTTTCAAAGCTGTTAAGGATTTGTAAAAAAAAATCAGGAAGCTCCTACACTAAACACAAAGACATAAATATGATTTTACTCTGTTTTGAAGAATAACATTCAGCCACGAAAGCTGGATACTAACATAGCCCTGCATTAGATTATCATACGCAAAACTGTTATCAATATTCCTGATTAAGGCAACACATATATTGGAAGTTCGTTTGATTTCAACTTTGAAATTTATTATTTTCATGATATTGCTTATATGTCATTGTACTGTATATTCTGGGATATTTTAAGTAATGCACGAATATCTTCTAAATAGTCAAATGAAAGATACGTGTATGCATTCATAAAATGAACTTAAATAATCAAACTTTTTTAAAGGTCTTTTGTATAAATTGATTTTGTTTTATAATTGTAGTCTGGAATAATAAGGGTGGAGCCGGCAAAACCACCCTTACATTTCATCTCAGCACAGAGTATGCCATGAGGAATCCCACAGTAAAAGTTGTCGTGTTTGATATGTGCCCCCAAGCGAACATCTCTTCGGCCTTTCTTTCAAATAAAGACGAAAAAGACGGCGGATTCAGAGGAGATGATGTTGTGAGAGAGATTCCCGCTGAAAAAGTCAAATGTTCTGATATAGATGGAGAAGAAAAGACGTATGACCGAAATGTAAGTGGATACTTGATGGCACAGATCGATAGGACAAGGATTGAGTACGAAAAGTTTCTTGTCCAACCTGCACTTAGAGAGAAACGAAATAAGTTCATAACTGAAAACATATACCTTCTTTGTGGAGACCAGTATTTGGAGGTTATAGCTAAAGGCTTAGAAAGCGAGAGGCATATTGTAAGACCAAATTATCCAGATGGGCAATGGAAAAAAATCACTTCTTATATGCAGAAATTTAGAGATGAACTTGTTCAAAACGATCCCAACAATAAATACGTGTTCTTCATAGACACAAACCCAAGTTTCGCAATATACACCGAACTAGCCATTACGGCAGGAACACGACTTATCGTTCCTATTATGTCAGATGATTTTTCCTTATCCGCCGTGAAATCCATATTTTACCTGTTGTACGGAGTACAAATTGATAACAAAAGAGATGATAGATATAGTACATGGAAAGTCTACGAGTTTTGGTCCCGAGCAAAATCGGAACATCTCAAAGTTCCAGAGATAAACCTTGTAGTTAACAACAAGATCATACCGTATGCTAACAGAAGTGCAACAGCGGTAAGTGCTAAGCAACAGGAAATACAGAAGTATTTAGATAGAGTGAGAAGTGAGAGGCCAGACATATTTGCCAAGAATAATACTGCTGAACCTATGGATACCTCTGATACAAGTATGCAGTCAAACGTATCTATTTATGAACTTAAAGATTTTCATTCGATGGCAGTAACATCTCTACACTTAGGATGCCCGCTTTCAAGGCTTCCTAAAACGATCAAAATGGATGGTTTTGATATACCAAAACCTGTTCAGTATAGAGATGTCTATTTACCAGGTTTAATTACCATCGTAGAAAAACTTGAAAGACTTACATCAGAAAATATGTGAACGACTTTGACAGAACCGGATCACATTTGATGCCGTGTGTACAATCGTATTGTTAGCAATTTGATAACATTTTTTTATAATATTATAATATCGTATTTGTGGAATACGTTTAGCGGCTTTCAGTTAGTTTTGTTAGTATCAATAAAAATATAATTTGTTATGATTCTATAAATTTCATTTATAGCACTGAGTCTTGTGATTTCTCAATTAATTCAATCTACAAGCAATGTCACTTCTTCTTGTATATGAATACACATAAAGGCTATGTTTCACCTAGGCGAATACCCAATAACATTTAAAACACTTAAAACCGAAATGTTTTCACAGAACACAAAGTCATATATTATATATATATGCAAACAAAATTGCACAAATTATAATTTGTGTTTTAACTTTTTACAAATTGTAATTCGTCCAAAAAGTGCTTGTACAAATTTCTATCTGTACAAAAGTCGACTATAATTCACTTATAGCTTGTACAGTAATTTATAAAATGAATTTGGTTAAAAAAAAAATTGATACCCACTATAGCATTTCTATTTAATGACCACACAGTAAACCTTATTTACAAAATACAAAACAAATAATTCTATATCATTTGTTTGAGCATGTGAGAAAATTATGGGATCGGGAATTGCACAACATCTTATGCTTTTTACATTTAAACAAAGAATTATTTGAATTAATCTTGAATAGTTTTGAATTCTTGAAAATTGATCAGAACTGTATGATGAAAACGAACCCAAATTTAGCGCATGGCTAAGGTTCAAGTTACTTTCACTGATATTTCGGTATGAACTAACTAACTCCGCATAGCCGTGCATGCATGGCTAGCCCTCCTTACTTGGAATAGTTTTTATCATATACTTATCAATTTTCTAGATTTCAAAATTATTCCATTGTTTTTACATTAAAAATTGCTGCACCCCCTTTTTTACATTTACATGACAGAAACCCCTGACTAACAGTTTTTAAAGTTTGTAACTGCTTCACATAACCTCATGAACCATTGCTGCGAATAAACATGTGTCTTTAACAGCTTTAATTTGAATTATAGACAAATATCCTGTTAAGATTCCTACAGCTGTTCCAATGTGATACCAAAAATCCTTGGTGAACACATAATTGTGCTTTCTTGTGCAATTCTCTGCTAGGTTCAGAATTTATTGGACAAATTTATTTTAATGATCAACAATGCTGGCAATGTTTATACTATATCATCAAATGAGTACACGACCAAAAGAGTGTTCACAAACACCGGGAATATATATTTTGACAACTAATTAAGAGAAGTAACCCCAAAATAATTAACAGTTCAAAAGTGTTCAAGAAGTGTTGCATGCAAAAATGTTTTTCGCAAGGCAATTAAAATGTATTACTATAAAAAAAACAAGAATGTGTCCATGTAAGTACATGGATGCCCCACTCGGTTTATTCCTCCTATTCCTATATTGTAAAATCTGGTATGTTATTTGTAAGAAATCCATGTGGGAATAGGAGGAATACTTGAATAAACAAGGGATTAAATCAGAATAGGTTGTAAAAACATAAAGCAAATTAACTTCAGGTAAATATGCATAAGACCTCTTGAGTTTAATTGATGTCCAATTTAAAAATATTAAAAGTAGAAATTACGGACGCATAGACCGAAAAACATAATGCACCTAGGTGGGGCATCAAAAGAATATAAAAGGCCATCTTTACCATTATGTTAAATTATCATTTATATCCTTTTTACAAGTTATAAGTGAATTTAGTCAAGTTTTGTACAAATTGTTTATGTACAAGCATGTTTTGGACAATTTATAATTTGCACCAAGTTAACATACAGATCATAATTTGTACAATTTTTTTGTACAAATTATAATGTATACAAACTGATAACATATACACAACATATACATGATATACTAAGCTTTAAATTGCTCCGAGGCTCAATAAATTTTCAAAGATAATAAAAGGTATGCATCAATGCCAAGTTGATACGTACAGACGCACACGTTTAAATTTCTCGTATGCATTATCCGGGTGTTTTTAAATGTTGACTGTTGGGATCTAGATTATATTGCACCTATGCATTGAAATGTGAGATCAATGTTGACGACGATTAAAATTCAATGAATAACTCTACCATATTCAACTGTTTGAACTGAAATGGAATATGATATAGAAATAAGAAGATGTGGTATGATTGCCGATGAGACAACTCTCCAAAAAAGTCCAAATGACACAGAAATTAACAACTAGAGGTAACCGTACGTCTTCAACAATGAGCAAATATACATACCGAATAGTTAGCTATAAAGACCCCGAAATGACAAATGTAAAACAATTCAAACGAGAAATCTAACGAATGAATGGTAAACTAACATTATGTATTTATGGGAAAAGACAGAAATAAAAAAAAACACGTCATGTAAGCTTATATTTTCCTATTAATATGAACTATCCATTTTTACTTTAAATAAACTATCCCTTACTGAAAGACCTGCAGTAAACATTTATATGCAAATGAGTGTTTGCTGCAGACCCGTGGCAAACACTTTTATGCTAGATAATATATCTCCTGAGTGTTTGCTGTAGACCTGCGGCAAACATTTATTTGCAAATTAATCTTTCTTCTGCGTGTTTGCGGCAAACTACATACATAACAATTAACCAATCGATGTCCTGTTGTCTTAATTACACATCACATTATTCAAATAACACAGCAAATTCTTAAAAAGTTAGGTTACATAGTTACATACATACATACAATAATTCAAATACTCCATCATTTGCAAAATTATCGGACTAGCTTAAGTAAATACCTTTTAAGAAATAATTCTAAAGTTTTTTTTTGTTTAAGTGCTCAAATGATTTGATTATTTTTTTTAAATACAAAAGAAGGGTTTATTTGAAATGCATTTTTTTGCATACCGCTAGTTAAATCAATTTCATTACAAAATTTTACTTGACTTATTGAAACATAATATATTTTTAAGTTTCAATCTCCAAACATATTAGAGAGTACTGTATATTTATAACATATTTGTAAATGTTTTTCAAACCTTCAGGTATTGTGGAGGTGACGAATTTCATACCGTCAATGAAGAATTTGTACTTACAAATAATGTCTTTAAATACTACACATTTCATTTCCAACCAAAAATGCCTCCCTGAACACTAATATGTAACATGACTCAAACATCATCAACATAAAACGCGCCGAATTTCAAATCATTAACTTGCAGGAAGTTACCAGTAGGCATGCTCAGTCATTTTAATTTATGTAATTCTTGCAATGCTCTTGCACACATATATATTAAAGATTTCTGCAATCTAGCTGCGAACATCTCTTATACTCTAGTTTTTGGTGCAATCTTACTGCAAACCTAACTGTTTCTGCAAACTTGCCGCAAGCTTGCAGTAAAAACTGCTTTGTTTTCAGGAGATTTGCAGCTAGCTGCAAACATCTGCAAACATTATTCCAAGGGTTGTTTGCAGCAAACCTGCAATAAGTCTGCTGAAGATCTACAGCAAACATTTCAGTTCTATGAGGAATACTACAAATGCAGTGAAAAATGAACCTCAACCGCAGTGACATTACATTTAAAAAAAAAAGAATAGGCAACCCAACCAAGTATAGACGTATTCATGAAATGTTATGTACCATGTCATGGTCAAATATGCAGTAGCTGCGATGAGCTGCTTCCATCAGTTAAAAAATATATAGTTATACAGATTGGTTTTCAACGTTCAGTGGCGAATATTACATGCATTTAATGACGGGAAAAGGTAATGTTAATGTAAAATTTACCATATATTCATTGTGAACGACCAGACTGAGTACAGTTTGGTTACACGAAGAAGGTCCAGTTAACAATTAAAAATTCTAGTTGGATCTTACCTCCTTACTTAAAGAAGGAAATTACAAAAAATCCGAAGTGCAAGGAAAATTCAAAACGGAAAGTCTTTCATTAAATGGCAAAATCAAAAGCTCAAACACGTCAAACGAATGGAAAACAACTGACATATTCCGAACTTGGTGCAGGAATTTCTTTATGCAGAAAACGAAGATAACCACAATCATATATAATAAGAATTCATCGTATAGATTTTACATGTAGTTGAAAAAGTTGTGTCTTCGCCTACCAATCTAGGTTTGAATATATCTAAACAAGAGCTTAACTCTATACCGCTTTTATTGAAAAATCTTTCCTAACAGTATAGAAAGTATCGATTGAAAAACGTCTCCTGCATGCATGTACGGAGCTAGCAGAGACAACCGTACACGTTAAGTTATTAACCGGGTCTTCCCTAAACTGGATTGTGGTTGAATGAAGGAACTCTATTATCAACCTTGAAACAGTGAATCACATATGTTAAAAGGAACTTAGATTATCACGTGAGATTTAATGCTGTTGCGACATTGTGTGTATGTAGAGAGGCGAAAGACAGAATACAAATTAAAACAAGAGAGTAATTTGGTGCACGCACCAAATGTTTGGACCGGAAGTAAGTAGGTTTTTGTAAAAAAGTGCAAAATGCTTATATAAACAATCTGTATATTGAGTTGACTTGAATCCTCAATTGCTAGAACTGTTCCAATCCAGTTAGGTATGATAATGCTATAAAATATTACTAAATTGTGCAGTTGATGAAATCGAATATCATTTAAGTGAAGTTGATGAAATGGAATATCATTTAATTCATGCATATATGTTCAAGTTTATTTTGAAACTAGTGACTATCAAAGTTGCATCTACTGACAAAATATTTGTATTCCTCATCTCAGATATGGACTTTAACGCAGCCTTTCACCTCATTTTCTCATCAATGCATTTTATGTCAAGATGACTTACTTATTAGGACCCTCCTGACTATAAAAGATGCATCTGCTGACAAAATATTATTTCTCCACGAGTTGTATCTCAGATATGGACTCTAACGCAAACTTTAATCAGTCACTCATATATGAAATGTAGGTCAAGATGATCTTATTTTTATCAGGACCCCTTGGTTATTCAAAACGCATCTATGAAAAAAATCTCATGAACTATGACTTATACTTCCACACATAGATGGACTTTAACTTTGTGACGGACAGATGAAACACTATATCCTTCCCCCAACTTCGTTTGACAAAAGATATAAAAATCTTAAACCAAACAAATGT